GGTGTAGGGAAACATTCGGAGCGCCCAAGACACATGAAATGATCCTGAAATGGTCGATAAGGGTTGTTAAAGCTGCTGTTTGTGCTTAAACAAATGCCACATATATTTGCACAAATCCACAGAATCATCTGAGTGGAGAGCAACCGTTTGAACAATTAGAGCATGCAGCAACAACTTTTAATCAGTAAGCACATTTATTTTTCCTTAGGTGATAGTAATTTCTCAGAGCTTTGTTACATTAGGACACTGTCTCACATACTGATAAATGGGACATTTTTCTAGAAGATTGGATGGAAAACGTCCACAAGAAGTCCTGAAGTAATGCTGCAAACATTTGTCTCACATCCCACACCTTCAGAACATCTCCGAACTATTACAGGACTTCAGTGGATTTGTAAATGATTTTATTTTACCCTGGCAGACCTGACATTTTGCATTTTTGACATTTCTGTCTGAGTCAACTGGTTATTATGGGATTTTTGTGGCAAAATGTTATTTTTTGTGATGGTAGATGAAAAAAGCTTTTTTGGGGGGTGGGTGTGTGCACGTTGTGAAGGTCATTCTATTCTCTGTTTGTTTTGATCTTTATTTACCGGCACAAGTTAATGCTAACTCATTTTTTTTAAGTACTGTATTGTGAAAAATTAAAACAACCAGTTTGATGTGTGATCACACTATAGAAGCAAAGAATACATTATTTCACGTCTTTTGTTTACGATAAAGATAATTTTATTGATTTAATGGTTGGTTTAATAACAAGTTGCAATTTTTTTTATATTGTGATTTTATAGCCACAATATTTACTATTAAAACACAAAAATGAAATTATTTGTTGATGTTTATTATTCTGTGCCTCAGTTTGTTGCATAAATGAGTAAAAACAATAACACAGTTTATCACAGCGTATAGCTAGTCGTTAGAAAAACAGCTGCGGTCTGAATCAGCTGCGAGGAAAATGAGATTTGTTACATTAAGGTAGCTCTAAAAATGTGGAATAATCGGATCCAGCCTAGCTTCAAGCGTGCGCCTCAAAGTTCTTTAACATCTGGAGAAAAACTCTAATTATTACTAATTTATTAACGAGGTCTGGCAGAGCCAGGCTCAACCAAAGGACTCCCAGGACCACTAGGAGTTGTCTTTATTTAATTTTCTGACACACATTTTCTTTTATCTGTTTTTATTATAAAATAAATTCTTTGTTAAAAACATGTAACAACCACAGCGACAATTTACATTTCAAACACAACAAACAGATTTTTGTTTCTGTCTTTCTAGCTTTAATTATACTGAAACACATTTAACCTTTAGTTCATTTTAACCATTTTGTTATTGACACGTTGTTTTATTTGGTTTGAACTAAAGCTTCCTCAAACGGGTTAGCTAAAAATATCTGAAATATTTTTGTAGTTACTTCAAATAATAGTTTAGATTTGTTGTAAGCAAATGCAATAGGATCTCTTACTGTTGTAGACAGCTCTTTGTACGACTTGAGTTTGGAGAAATAATTTTATTCTGACGGGATTGATGAGCTAAGCGCTAGTCTGCCATGTTAAAAACAACTTAAATCTCAAAGACTTTGTAGCAGTTCATACAAACACAGTTTTATTTAACTTTACACCATAGCCAGTTTAGCAAAAAATGGTTGTTCTGGCAGATATGCTATATTCTTACCAAAATTGCGACAGCTAGCTAATGATGTCACTTTTTGTATTTCATGGACATACCCATGTAGTGTGAAACTAATAGCAATGTTAAGATTCATACAATGAATCACGTTTGTTTAGGTCGTTGTTTTAAGAGAACGGCAGCTAGCCTTTAGCTTGTCAGTTTGATCAAAACTAAAATCCAGTTTTTCAACTGAGGTCATTCAAAGAGTTATCGTCAACAGGTACGGTACTAATTGTTTGTAATCTTTTCACAGAACCCCACGTCAGAGTTCAGAACTATCACTTTAAGGCTTCATGTCATGGACTTGTGTCAAAGTAGTAACTTTTCGTGATATGAGCACTCGTTCAGTCGCACGTCATAAAGCAGCATGTTAGAAACCTTTTCAATACACAGCCTAGACGTCTTAATGCTAAAATCTGTAAAGAGTTATTGATCTGTTGTCAGAAACAAATCAGACAAAACTGTGTCAATACTTACCAGAGGGAAATGTGATAATGAGACTCAGCTTTGGAGAATAAAAGGAAAAGAACACTAAACTACTTTGGTCTAATGGTAAACAGTGTACTTGTTGAACATTAACAAAGCTTTGTCACAGTGACCATGCAAGCAGCACTTCACTCAGGCTATATAACGTATATGTTACAGGAAAATATTTAGTACATTTAATGTGTTTGTCAAAATTAAATGGATGATCAAACGGTCATGAAGCAGCCCACCAAAGCCCTCGAAGTGCTCCTCACTTGTAAAAACATCTGCAAAATGAATAAAAGTAAAATCATAAAATGATTAACTCACACTATCAGCAGCCGACAATACAAATATTTAAAAGGCAAAAATATTCAGCAAATTGATTTATATGGTAAAATAATCCTTGACTGTAGTTTTACACAACAAAACTTGAGTATGCAACATTTATAATTAAAGCCTTTATCACCAGCAGACCTTCAGGCCATGGTTTTAAACTATGAGCATCTTAAGTTGGAGAATGACTGAGCCGTCTCTAGTTGATTTGGTCCAACCTTAAAAGTATTGTTATTTGTGAGCTCGTGCTGTGTGTTGTGAATGACTCTCAGCTACTACCACATCAAGTTTAAGCTCTATGTCTGTAAAGATGACTGAGTTTTAGCCATTTTGTGTTGCCTAATGTTGATTGGCTGTGGCAGCCATCGTAACTTGGACTGACTACAAAGGTTAGTTATTGATGCACATCTTATTACTTAGTATTGGTGCCACTTTATCTTTTTGAAAGATTTAGCCTTTTCTACCATTTTTTTCCCCATAGATAATTAATTGAGCTCATTTTACATCCTTCAACTCTTTAGATCTGTTTACAACCTTTTACTGCTCCTTTCACATTTTGTGCTGCTTCAGCTTCTTTTAGCTGTCTTGTGCAAATGTAAAAAAATCAGCTAATTTCAGCTGTTTTTTTTTAGCTATTTTGTTTCCCTTTCAGCATCTTTCTGCTAATTACAACATTTTTGTACTTCTAACTTCTTCCTGCTAATTTCAGCTTGTTATGCTCCTTTCAGCTGATTTCCTCTAGTTTCAGCATTTTCTATTATTTCAGCTAGCTGTTTTTATGCTAATTAAAGTATTTTTAGCTAATTCCACTTATTGTAGCTCATTTCAACTTTTTTCACCATAATTCAGCAAAACTGTGCTCTTTACTTCTTTCTTGTAATTTCAGCATCTTTCTGCCTTTTTAGCTACTTTTCAGCTGTTTTTTTCCCTTCAAATTTCAGCTTTTTTCAGATATTTTCCTCTTTTTTGTGCTAAATTTTGCTTCTTTCAGCAAATGTATTATTTTCTTATTTCTTCTGCTCATTTAAGCTTGTTCTAACTTTCAGCTACTTTCTTTAGCATTTTTTAGCTAATTTCAACAGTTTTCTGATGAATTCAAGATTTTCGTAGTAATTTCTGCTCATTTCAGCCGAATTAACTTCTTTCTGCTAATTCCAGATTGTTATGCTCCTTTCAGTTTTTTTCTGCTAGTTTCTGTTTTTTTGTGTGTTGTTGTTACTATTTCAGCTACTTTTTAGTTGTTTTGTGCTAAATTTAATTTTTTCAGCTAACTCCACCTTTTTAGCTCGTTTCAGCTCTTTCCACCTCCTGGTAGTTTAGGCTTCCTTCTGCCTTTTCAGCTACTTTTTGTTGTTGTTGCTAATTTAAGCTTTTTTTAGTTAATTTCCTAATTTTTGTGCTAACTTCAGCTTATGTAAACCTAATTCAGCAACTATGTGTTCTTTCTACTTTCTTCTGTCAACTTAGGCTTTGTTCTTCCATTTCAGCTCCATTTCAGCATGTTTTAGCTAATTTCAACTCTTTTCAGCAAGTTCTTCAGCAATAAGTATTCACACTGCATTTTCGCAGGAAATGCAATTTCTAATATAATAATTTTGCATTTATGTTAACAGAAGTGATCTACTAACATCAAAGGGCTGCAGAGCACGTGTACTGGGAGCATGTTTATTAGATTTTATTATCATCAGTGCATGACTGAGCACTTTTTGCACAGTCATCTTACCAATGTAAAAAAAAAAAAAATGCTTATAATTATGTCAGTCAAATACTGCGAGTTGTTCTGGAGGCAGAACCCTCCTTAACTCAAAGTAAACAGATTTTCTTAAAGGCGCTCATTGACTGATTATACAAAAGGTAAAATAAGTGAATCCAATAAGTCGCAGACTGCTGACCCACATTTGGGATTTCATCAGACAGAAGAAGAAGAAAAAAAAAAAAGGCAACCAGGAAGTTATTAAACACAAACACACAGAGGAAGTCCTGGGAGAAACAAGTAAAACTTTATCAGCTGATTGGGCATCTGTTTGACCGAGTCAAGCTGTATAAAAGCAGCTTGGTTGTAGCCTGACACGAGTGTGCTCCCCCAGCCAGAGGAGTCCCTCTGAGACGGGACCCTTCAGGGTTTAAACTCATATGTGGGTCGTTGAGCGCATGTTTCAGATGACAGCCGTCACCGCAGCTTGCTCTGCTGTTGTTACAGACCTCTCTGTCGTCGTTAGTATTGAGCTGCCAGCTGACCTACTTTCAGCCGCCCGGTCCTGTTTACAAACCGCGGACAGCCGAGGATGTGGACTCGTACCGGGGGAATTTACCGAACACCTCGGGCTTTTTTAAATTTTTTTACATTCTTTATTTAAATTAGAGCTGTGGATAAATCTGGACAGTCATTGCGGACAGGAAGCGCACCGATTAATAACAGCGCGTTAATAACTTGTTATGTAATTTTAGGGCAGTCGGTGTGTTTCAGTCGAACGCAGCTGCTAAGCTAGTTTTCTTTTTCTAGTCCTTTTTTTAACATGACGGAACGGAACGGTGAAGTTACGACGGGGGCTTTATTTGTGGACGCTCGTTCAGGTATGCTCCCACTTTGTCTTCACTTGTGTCCTCAGACTTGTGACACTGTTTATATCATCAGTTGTGATGTCGATAAGAGTTTTTTTTTTTTTTAGTTTTAGTCCTAGTTTCCACCCACGTTATGTCGTTTTGTCCGGGAAGCTTAATATTCCGATATTTACCGAGCGCCCCTGAACGCTGCTCACATGTTTTAGCTGAAATGCGCTACAAGGTGGGAATAACCAGTTTTTACCTTCGTTCCCCTGCTCACACTAAATGGACCTAAAAGTATTAAAAGCCAGGTGAACCCCCCCCCCCCCCCCCAGAGGAGTTTGGTGTGGTGTTCATATTTTTCTCATAGAGCTTTTATTAGATGAAGAATTAAAGTCCTGCAGCATTCAGATGGCCTGCCAAGTTTTCAGTTTTAAACTGAATTAATCCAGATTTATTGATGTTTAGATCAAACCTTGTTAACCACTATACCAGGGCTATTCAACTGGCAGCCCCAGGACCAAATCAGGCCCACGGGTGAGCTCAGTTCGGCCCACGAATGGGTTCATTTTTAAATAAAACTAGATTTAAAAAATAAATATACTTAATGACAATAACTGCTGGATGTCCAGCCTCTGAGCTCTTGGCTTTCAGTAACTGTGGCCCCTGAGCAATTTAGTTGAATAGCCCTGCACTATAAAATGGGTTAAGGACACCCCTCTACTACCATAAGTTTTTAACTCATTAACTGTAAAAATGACTGATTTTTTTTTGTTGCCATTTTTGTGCTTTCTATTGCTTTTTAGCTGTGGTGACCATCTTGAATTGTGTTAACTCAGAGTTAATTAGTTGTGAAGGTTTTTCCTAGTTTTGATACAATCTGTGCAGTCATGAGATTTGCTAACACAGACTATAATATTTAACGCCAATGTTTTTAAAACAAGTCTTGCGCAATCATTTAGGTTTTTAAACTGGAGATCGGTCTCAGCTACTACCACACCAATTTTTAGCACGTCTTTAACTTTGACCAGGTTATAGCCATATATGCGTTTGCTAATGTTGATTAGTTGTGGCAGCCATCTTGAACTGGGTCGATTTCAAAAGTTAATCCTTTGCAAATGGGTATCCAGTGAGTACTTTCTGAGAGTTTCAATAAAATCCATCATCTCCGTCATGGGATATTTTGCTGACAGACTAACAAACTGACATCCTTTTGCCTTGTGCAAAGGGCGATAATTATTCAGTTATTTTGCACATAGGCTGCTAAGAATATGTGATTAATCTGCCTTAGCTTTTGAAGCTTCCCGTTTCCTCATTAATACAGGAAAACTTTTATCACATTCACCAACATGCTCTTTTGTATTTTAGAGCTTAAACCGGCTCTTTGAATTTATTTTCTATTATAAATCCATCCTGTGGGTATCTGTTACTGCTCACGTGTCTTAATAAAACTGAATTCCTGGTTTTAATTTCAAATAAACATCATAAAAGTAGCGATTAATGATGGTTGTGCAGTTCGAGGTAAAGCAACAACAGACCTGCAGGTTAAACATTTTCTCACATTCTGAAACAAAGCGAGTCAGGGTCCGCTACGTGTTTACTGACGAGCTGCAGCCGTCAGTACACGAGCCCAGCTGTTGCTTGGACCGTCTGAAGTTTCATTAGCAGTTATCTCCAACTCGTCTCTCAATGGGTGAACAATACGAGCAGTGTTTTAGCTCTCAGACGGCCGCTCTCTCTTATGGTTTTGTGGAATGTTATTCAGGAATCAGCCCTTTGTTCAGTGTTTGACGTGATTTAGTTTGCCGCGCATTAACGTGTGTTAATGGGTTATTTCAGGATTGTAAATATTACCTCAAATATTGAATAGCCTTATATATGCCACAGCTCGTTGACTCATCAAATGGAAACATGACAAATGTCTAACTGGCTGTGTTATGGCAGTGGTTAACGTTTGATCTTTTTGGAGCTTCATTCTGCAGAACAGATTTCGGCATGTGTTTAGCTGCGTGCCTGAATTATTTTATTTATTTACAACATGCAATACAGACTTAATACTGCATTGTTAATTGGTCAACATATTAATCGTTAATTAACATTTACAACTTACCGTACATGCTTGGTGTTTAATAAAGTAAATGTAGCTTCAAATATAAAAGTGTTTATTTTAAAACCACTTAGTGTTTGTAGAAATTAAACAATGTGTCACTTGGTCAAGCGATTTTAAAGCATTATAAATGCTAAGCTTTGTCTTCCCCTTGAAAAAGTGTTAGTTGAAGCATTTTATAACACATAACAAACCATCAAAGTGAATAAAAGTGTCTGATTTTCTGCACACTTGGTTTAACATGTAAGTAATGGGAGACATTTTTGTTCCATATTATATTTCAAGCAGCAAACGGTCCAATCTTACAGTAAATAGCATCATTTTTAACCTTATTTGGGTTCTGCAAAGCATTTCACAGGCTATCTTTCATTTACACAGATTTACACTTGCCTTGTGTTATATTGATATATTTGACTCTTTTTATATTTTCACTGAGACGTTGATGAACAGATTGGGAACAGTGGGAAGTTTGGCGTCCTCCCCGAGGACAGTTTATCTTCAGACCTGGGGATCGACCTCCCGATCTTCCCGTTAGAAGACATCTGCTCTGTCACTGAGCTACAGCTCACTGAGATACAAAAACTGGACAATGATGAAGAAAAAAAAAACTATTTATAGAAAATAAAAGATGTTTTTATGTTGATTCAGCTAATTAAAAGTAAATGAAGTCCTGCTCCATTTTTAGCAGCTCTGCTGGTAAAGATTTAAAACCAGCCTGAGTTGTTTACTCAGGATGATTAAATTTAATAGATCCATCTACAAACTAATTATTTAGTTTAAATGTGTTTTTATTGACATGCATGAATTCTACAAGTCTTCATTTTAATTTTGTCTGCCTGTTTTTGACCATTTTTATAAAAATGACCAAAGTGGACTTTTATTTTTTGAGTTTTCAGGCGAAAGATGAACAGCACTGAATGACTGTGTAAACACCATCTGTGCGAAAACAGTTCCAAGCATTGTTTAAAAAAAAAATCTGATATTTCTCTCCATCTGGTTTTTTTTTTTTTTTACTTTGAAACATGATTACTGGCTGCTGCGTATCAACATATTGCACACAGGATGTAATACACATCTTAACTGTGCATTTCTCTAATATAGACGACGTGTTGATTACTCTGGGTTTAATCACATGTGGCTGAAGATCCTTCAAGCTGCGGTTCATACTGGTTGGTTGGTAGTGACAGACTGGCTGGCCAAGACCCAGTTACTGATGTCAGACAGATGTTTTGTCTTTAGCAGCTACACGGAAGTATTAATGGTCAACACCTTTCAGAATCTGCTTCAGTGGGTTTGAAACAACCTGTTATTGTTAGAGGTATAATCTTTTATTATTGTGTGATTGTTAGCAAAATATGTCATGAGCCATTAAACAGATTCTAATTAAATTTTCATGTAGTAATCATTGGATGTACATCTACAACTGATTAACTTTTGGATTCAATGCCACAGATCATCAACATTAGCTAACACAAAAATGGTGACAACTCCGTTATTTCAACAAAAATTGAGCTACAGGTTGGTGTGGTAGCTGAGGATCAGCTGAGTTCAAAGTTTGATCAAAACGACGACAACTCCATCTTTCCTTGACATAAGATGTTCTCAGTTTAAAACTCTGGCCTAAAAGTCTGCAGGTGAAACACTGTCCATGAAGGAATGAACGTGCAGCTGCAGTTCAGATTTTTTAAACTCTTGATTTTACATAACGTCCAGCCCCCATCTAACTTCAGCTCATGGTTTTAACAGTGAAACAGAAGATCCAGGACTTAAATAACAGATGTAAACTTTAAATTAAAAATACTTCAATTGAAAGTAATGTCTTTACTTTGACGTATGAAACTTTGCTTGTGTGGCTGTTGAGACCAGGCCATTTGACCTGAAAGACAGAGAAGAACAGACTTATATAATCCAAACAGGCAGGTTTATCAGGGGTCAAACCAAACCGTCAGACTGTCAGTGCGCCAAACACAGACAATATTTCAACCAAACCTGGGTCTGTTAAACAAACCAAAGGAAAAGTACCGACACGGTTTACAGACGAGGCAAGAAGGCAAACACTCAAGAACAAGTTCGAGTGAAAACCTATTCAATCCTGAGTCATAGGAACTTGGAGCGGATACGAACTTAGCAAGAGATGACAAAAACGGAGTACATCTACCCGAGGGGATGATGACTGATAGCAAACAGGTGGAGGCAGAGCAGTGGAGAAATCAGGAACATGAAACACTGAGGACAATGTGACAGAAATGATCAGGGTTTAACATAAGTACGCTGCATATCACAACTTTAGGAAGGAGTGTTGGACTCCTGTGTTACATTTATGAGTTATTTTCTTAGACATCTCCAGTCTTTCTAAGAAATGAGTCACACGTACACAGTTAGTTTTTAGAGTGTTATGTGTAAACAGAAAGTAATACATATACACACATACGGTATATATGTTGTGCTGTGTTGATCATGAACTTCAACTTGTGTGAGTTCAAGTTTCTCATTAAAGATCGTAAATACTTAAGCAGACTCTAATGTGTAATAGTTGTTAACCTTGCAAGGTGTGGTTTAACCTCTGAAAGAATGTGGTTTCACTTTACCTATAGCTCTGCAGACTGAACGCAGAGTGTTCATTTTTAAGCAAACTATAATATAAATCAGATGTCTGTGCTGTTGTCTAGTGTTAAAATGTGCATTTCATTCAAAATGTTCTACAGAACGAGACGAATGTGTAGATATTCTCAGCAGCCACGTGTGAAGGAGTTATCAAAATGTTTGGTATGAATCAGTCATTTCTGCTGTTGGTGGCTGCTACTTACAGTTGGATCACACTAGCTTGACGTGCAGTGCACCACTAATAAGTGCAACGTTGCTGAATAATTTATCTGTCGCTCAGGTTGTTCGGGACTAGGTGTGTTTAAGGACCAGCTATATACAGTTCACGTCTTATATGCTCCGAGCTTCTCAAGCAAAGTCTATGATAATTCAACGACCTATGTAGTGAGAAACGTCTTCTTATCAACTTTTATTGCTTTTCTGGAGGTAAAAGAGCATTGAGCTTTATCACCTCCTGCTAATTTGAATGCAGTTTTAATTTTTTTAGAAGATTATTAAGGGCTGTGCCACGTTACTCTGACATTTCTGTTAAAAGAGTGAGTCTTATTTTAATGACGATGGAAGTAAAGTAGCAACAATATCTGGTATCAATATCCTATATGTAGGTTGTTTAGCCTCAGGCACTTCTCTGTTCAAGACAACTTCACTGAACAATATTTAGATATGGTTTGATTTACTTCTAGACTACGATACTATTGGATGCTATATTCAAGGCTTATGTGCAGTTAAATAACTGGTATGTGACTCCGGCTTTAAATTAAATAACTGTTCTTTACGTTTGATTGAATCTTGAACACTTTAAATTGTCCAGTCCAGATAACTTTTAGAGTCTGTTAGTCTCCTGTTGTGGATCAAAAAGGGAAAATGGAAATACCCTTCATCCATCCCTACATCTTGTGAGCTGGATAACTTAACAAATAAGCAAGGTACTAACTTTCATTTTGTTGTGTGGCTGCATCTAGGCGTAAGAAAATCCATGTCAAAATCCAAGATGGCCACCGCCATATATATTTGTAAACCAGCCATCCCAGTTATTTTTTAAAGAAGCTTGGGGCAGCTGTAGAATAATCTTATGTTGGCCAAGGCCACCATTGGCCACCCCCTGGTTCCACCATTGCTCCAGGTGGTGGATAAAATACAAAGCTCACAACAAAACACTAATCTCAGCCAAGGTGGCTGCAGTTGGTTTCCTGTTGGGTTAGTAAAGGAGGTGTTCAATTCTGGGAGTTATCTAGGTCAGGGGAGCTCCTCCTGTTCTGAAACTGTTTTTTTTTTAAAGCAATGAAGTACAGTAAGTACTTTGCCTAGGTGAAGATGATTATTTAACTCCAAATTAAAGTATTAATATTAAACTAGTTCAAAAGACCATCAAAATATGGCTTAAGTCAAGTGAGTTCATAAATCTTTAATGAAAGATCAGAAATTGTAAAACATCTTAGACACAGTCACTTTAAGACTTCAAAGTAATTACACAATAGCTTGACGAGCAGCTTTGTGGCCTGGTATCATCATTTTATATATATATATATATATATATATATATATATATATATATATATATATATATATAAATATTTTTTTTTTGTACATAAAAAGATATGGTATTTATCTGCCAGTACTCCCTTTATTGTGTCTTTCTTTATGTTTTCTACATGTATTTTGCCTTTCATATATATTTATTTCAGTGTTTCTCTACATACTAATTGCTAATTTGGTTTCTTCCTAAACTAATTAATCTTGATACGGTCTGCAATTCCAAAATACCTTAGCAAATGTGATATTTCGAGGAGATAAAGATTAATGCAAAAAATTGTAAATGGTTTAGTTCAGGGTGCAAACCACTGGAGACACAAAAACAGAAGAACTAGACTTTTCATAAAACATTTAAATAGGAGTTTGTGTTCTGGAACGGGACAAAAACAGATGAAACCAAGATTAACTTGTACGAGAACGCTGAGAGGGGAAAGAGTTGAGAGAAAGAAAAGAGGGGCTTTGTGATCCAACACCTACCACATCATCTGTTCACCAGGGTGAAGGCAGAGTTACAGCACCGACAGCGTGTTCAGCTGAAACTGGGTCACTGTTGCTTATCCATGATTCCTTCTTCTGCTCATAGAAGCAGAATTTTAAAGCATTGGTTTACTCTCTGCTCAAACTCAGCCAAATGCAGCAAATAAACAAAGCATCCCATAGATGGATACAGACCAACATACAGCTGAAGGGTTTCTGAAGGCAAATAAATGATTTGTTCCTAAATGCCTGAGCCAGTCACCTGACATGAACTTATCTGAGCCTTTTATTTACTGGAGAAAAGAAGGACCCACAAATAATTAGCAGTAAAATCGTGGCTACAGGCTCAAGCATTTGATTTCATGTAATTTGTCAGGTTAATTAAAAAAAGTGTTTAAATTAGTGATGCACAATATAGGATTTTTTGGCCAATATCCGATATGTTAAAACTTATTTGGCCGATACCGATATATATTTTTTCCTAGACCTACTTACCGAGACTACATAGCTCTCTGAATGGTCTTTGTCAATTTGGCCTGCTACCAAATGCAGATGCCATAAAGGGGACTGAAAATGATGTAACACTTCAACTTGTTTATGTTTATTGTCAAATTTATTCATGATATTCACTCTCTTTAACACAATGACAACACTCGAACAGTGCAAATTATACATTTTCACAAATATAAACTCAACAGCGCTCGTGATGTCATAACGTTGAGCTGGAGCTGCAGGCATCCTAGTCACTGGGTTCTCATACAAAAACAGTGCCTTATATATATATATATATATATATATATATATATATATACATATATATATATATTATATACACACACACACACACACACTAAACAGCGCCTTTTATATCGGTGAGTTATTTTGATGGAATGGCCACTGACCAATATTTAACATTATCGCTAATATTGGCTGATACCGATACCATGCCGATAATATTGTGCATCCCTAATTCAAATGATTTTTTTCTTTGATGTATCTATCTGTCTTTGAGTCTGTGAAAATGGTGGCTACAATTCCTAAATTCTTTGTTTTGTGAAATGTAAGCCTTTAGCGGGATAGTTTGGATCTTTTTAAGTTGGGTTCTGTAGAAAACTGTTAATACGTTACTTATTGTAGATAGTTTGGAGAAATAAATTGTTTAATTATGACCAGATTGACGCGTTAACAACTAGTCCGAGCCAGCTAAGACCAAAGCTGTTTAAAAGCTGTTCCAATCTTAAAGAATTCGTAGTGTAATTTATGTGAACACTCTTTTGCTAGTCATGTAATTTCTCAAGACGATGTTAGTTAGTCCTCAGGATGCTCACATTTCTGAAGTTACAGTAAAATGTCTGTTTTTGCAGGATTTTGTGTCACTTCAGTGGGATCCAGGAGGTGTTGGACGTCTTGTCAATACTAGATTTTCCAAAATATAAAGCTCCAACAAGGTCAGGACGGATGGGACGATCAAGACTTCAGAAAGGGCCTGTTTGGGAGAAGGAGTGACTATGGACAATCTTTCTGACTTCGGCGGCCCATGTTCGTCCACCCGCAGGGAATGGGAGTGAGTATTGGAACAAGCTAATCTGATTTTGTGGTTTTAAATTCATTATGCTCCATTTATACTACTTCCTCAGCTCAGTGTGTTATGTAAGTTAGCAATGATACAAACTCTTTCCTTTTTCCATTTTAGCCACATTCATTCATTTTAAATGCTCAAAATACAAACATATACACTTCTTTTTCAATGAGCTGTACTGTCTCATAAAAGTAATCCACTTTAGATGTTGAATGGTTTTTTTTTATATAGATCAGGTTGTTCATATGCCACAGTGACCTGTTAATACCTGGAAACAACCAGAAAGTTGAAGTAGGTCACCAGGTCACACAAATATGGCAGTTTGACAAAGGTTTAAATTTATATGAATGGGCTTCCCCCTTAATTTCTGCTCCTTTCTAAAAACTATATCAGTTTGGAACATGTTGCAGCAGTAGATGTTAAATTGCACGCCTGCTTTATGAGTGGAGCTCAGATTTGTGTAAGCTGGTCCGGAAAAACTATTTAAAAAAAGACTCATCGGTGCAATAATCTAAATGTTAAATATCTCTATTACACTCATGTCATAAAACATCCAGGAGCCACTGGTGATAGTAAAATAAAATGATTAAAAGGCTCAATTTTAACTGTGTTTTTGTGTTTTTAGTAATAACAGCTGTGTGGATGATTTAATGGATGAAGATGAGAAGGACAGGGCGAAAAGGTAACCAATCCTGCTTATATACGAGTCGTGTATTCAAGTCACAGCATGAAGAATTATTAGACATCATCAAACTTAAAGCCATATTCTGCTAAAGATTTTATTATTTATCCATTCTCATGTGACATGACTGTGTGTGATTGTGTGTCCTGATGTGGGTAATAAATTTAGTTATTGTGTGGTTTTGAAATAGGTTAATTCAAAAATGACCTTTGAGACAGATCCACCACTTGGAGAACAACACAAAACTTGACTGAGGCCATAGACTAATAATGGTTTCATTAAATAAGCTGCATAGAAAATTGTAAACACTTAAAAAAAAAAAAAAAAAATCAAGAGAATTTTCTTATGTTTGGACCAGATGAATTGGACTGTTGTGGATCACACAGGGCATCACTGAGTCAGGTGGAAGAGCTGAAAAGTCTTTTTATGGACTTAAAATCTGCTCCTAAACTCACAGTTTCTTTATTCGAGGAGTAATCTGAAGAGTCTTAAGAGAACTAGTTTCAGTCTTTTTCACACAGGTGGGGAGTTAACCTGTAAGGGTTCTGGTTCAGGTGGCGACTCAAATGCAGACTTGGACTCAGGTGGCAGTAATAACAAAAAAAATGTTTATTAAATAGAACTCACAGGACTTACCTGGTAGAAATAGTCACAAAGATTCAAGGACACAAGGAGGACAGAGGAACCTAACTAAGACGACAAGTCTCAAACACAACATTGCACGGACAGAACCCACATATTTACTGACACATCTAATCAGGGGAACGGGGAACACCTGGGAAGAAGGAGCCAAAACACAGGTGAGGGAAATTGCACAGAACAACAGGCAGGAAGAATAAACTGAAGAAGCAGCAAACCAACAAGTGAAAGGAATAACCAGGGAACCCTCGCACCGTGACACAACTCGTGTAACCCTTCCTGATTTTTAGCCTGTTAAGGACTAGAGGGAAAACTTCAACATTATAAATAAATTCAATTCAGTTCAGTTTATTTATATAGCACCAAGTCACAACAGAAGTCATCTCAGGGCACTGAACAGAAACATTCATATATAAAATAATAATTTAACATTATTTATCTGAGGAGCAGACTGCTTTGAATTTAACTCCATCACAGAACTCTCATCTTGAGCATGAAGGCGTTAGTGGAAAGGAAAAACTCCCTCATGAGGAAGGAACCTTTAGCAGAACCAGGCTCAGGACAAGAGGCCAAAATAGAAACCTAATTTTTTCGATGCAAAAGTCAAAAGTTGTGTCAGCCATTTTATGCTTTCGGGTGTAAGACTCGGTGAACAAAGAATAAATACTGTAAGTGAGATTTTAATTTTTATATTTAGTTTCTGGGCATTTTAGCAACTTACCTGCTGCATAAATAATGCGGCATCTAAACGCACATTCCTCTGACAAAGACAACTCGCATTCTTTATTCTGCAGTTGCATTTGAGATTATTTTGGTCTCTTGTGTCAGTGGGCATCTGAAATATCATCTGAAAATACACTTTAACATATTTATATTTAACAGCACACATGACACCTTCACAAGTGTTGATTATTCAGAGTCAGAGAGTCTGAGTCAAAGAGGTTTTATTGTAATTGCAGCTACGTACAAGTATTGAAACGAAACAGCGTTTCTCCAGGATCACGGTGCAACATGGAACATTAAGTGCAAAACAATACAACACACTGCAGATACACAACAGTACAACAAATACAAAAAGACATCTAAACATTCTAATCTAAACAAGTAATTAAGGGATTCTTAAGACTAGAGACACATGTTGACTAGTACATGTGTAGGTGGTACATGAGGTAGAAACATGTTCTGTTATGTGGTTAGCGGCGTAAAGTTTTTAGCTGAGTAAGGTGCAAAATGCAAAAACAAGCAGATTGCAAGAACATGCAAGTAAAAGTATTTAGGATGCGTCATAGTCCTTCATGTGTTTGTGTGATTGGGTCCATCGTGTGTGGTATTCTTTCACCACCTGTTACTTCTAGTAGTTACACATGCCTGAGGTTCCCTGCTCCAGGATAAAAATCTACACTTACTAATGTCTTGTAGATAATGATATATTTTTTTATTTATATGGTGGTTAAAATTGCTCCCTTCACTTGCCAGGATCCGTCACTCTGCGCTGCCTGGGACAAGCAAAAAATAAAAACCACCCACCTCCATCTTTATATACAGTGCAACTCCTACCCAGTTGAATATCTTGTATCAAAAACATTAAGGTTTACTTGCATTTCCTGTTCAGTTCCAGTCCAGAAAAACACCTTGACGACTACAAACTCTCATCATTAAAATCCCTCGGCAATGGTGGACCTCGGTGTGCTGCTTGTTTATGTTGTTAGATGGTTCATTCTTAACCTTCTTTACTTGACACAAAGGATTAATAAATTAGAGCACTGGATGTTTTTAGAACCACATTACCACAGATTATTTTTTACATATATTTGCTTGTTGCTATAGGGCATCTCGTAACAAATCAGAAAAGAAAAGAAGAGACCAGTTCAATGTTCTCATCAAGGAGCTCTGCACCATGCTGCAGGGCCAAGGCCACCCGCGCAAGATGGATAAGTCCACCATATTGCAAAGGACTATTGATTTTTTACAGAAGCAGAAAGGTAGGGAGCTGCTTTACTGACTGTGCACAACATCTATTTTCAGTTTGAACATGCTGGTTTAGTTTCATTTGTTCATCTCAATCTTTGTTTAATTTCAACATTTCCTCTATTTCAGACATCACTGCACAGAACGAAGTCTGTGACGTGAAGCAGGACTGGAAGCCCTCGTTCCTCAGTAATGAGGAGTTCACTCAGCTGATGCTGGAGGTAAAGCTCCACACCTTGAGTTCCTGCACCTTTCATTATTAAAACGGTTGTAAAATCATAAAACTAATCTCTTACAATGCTCAGATAATGAAATAAGCATAACGACATTAACGACATTTAATTTTTTTTCTGAGTTTATTCTAATTTCAGTTTGCATTTTAAAACATTAAAAATAGGGTTCTTCTTATCTCGTGATAATTCTTGTGCACTTGTGTTTTTACAGGCTCTGGATGGGTTCCTGGTTGCTTTAACAACAGATGGGAACATTATATACGTGTCTGACAGCGTGTCGTCTCTTATCGGACATTTACCGGTAAGTTAGAAAACTTATATCAGCAACTAACTTTTATTTTTTTAATCCACATCATTTGGGCCTGAAAATCTTGGAGTGGTGCACTGAAAATCAAAAGCCAGAACAGAATTTATGCTGTTCTTGTAAAACAACGATTTGAAAACTTTAGCAATATGAGAGTTTAGGAATTTCCAAGGGATGTAGTTGAGTTTCTTATTTCACAGCTAACATTTCTGATTCTGTGACGTCCACAGAGCAGAACAGATACGTTTCAGTAGGCCTGTCGCAATAAACAATACATCAGTTAATCGCATGATAAATGAAAATTATCGGAACTCATTTTCATTTATAGACTTTATTGTTTCTTCGTGTCTCTCTCTTTCTACTGAAGACACTGGATGACGAAAATCTCAGCTCCGGTGCTCTTCACTGACCCCTCCCTTTCTCTTTGTTCTCTTTTCTTTAAAATCTGTTTTAACCGTCCAAAATCGTGTTTTTGGATTGTTAAAAGCAGCTAAACTGAGACGCTAAGCTACAAGCTAAGCTAACAGGCCGACCTCAGGGGGAAAATCCTCTGTCTTTTCAAAGCTCCAAAATTCACGGTTGAAACCCGTGCCTTCATGTAAAAAGTTGTTTTTCTCTGCAAAAAGAAGCTGAGAACTTGTTTACTGATTTTTTTTATTAATAGCTTTGTGTGAAAAACGCTATGCTAAAGAGCTCAAACCACACCGAGCGTCCGCCGTTTTGAGAACTGAGAAAAAAGGAAAGAGAGACGGCCCATGTCACGTTAAGGGACCTCCCTCCCATTTTTCATAAAAAAATAAAAAAAAATAAAAAGCATGCTGCTCGCTCCCTCACTATCCGTCCTTCGGTTCAAACAGTCTTATACTGCTATCCTGTGATCAATAACGGCAATACACACAAAAATTAACCAACATTTCTTCTTAAATTTGTCAAGAATTTCTAATTCTTGTCAAATTTCAAACAATATTATCGTTTATCGTAATAAGTTCTGAGACAATTAATCACCCAGCACAATTTGTTATCATGACAGGCCTAGGTTTCAGGCTCCACAACAGTCCAGTTTTAATGTGTTCTGTATCTTTACATACACTTGTAAGGCCATCAGTTGTTCTTCGTGTCATTTTCCCTAAAAAAGCGATATGTGAATCTTTTAATTTGAAGGGGTACATTAAATAGAACATTTACTAGAAATAAGCTTTAAGTTTAAAACCACCACACCTTCTAATTATTTTGAAATTATTCTTATTTGCTTGTTGCTGTGTACTTTTGTGAAAAAATATTTATTATAATGATCTAAAACTGGGAATTAAAAAAAGTTACATTTAAGTTAAAAAAAATTGCCTCCCGAGATCTTACATCTTAATGTTGTGGACATTGATTTTAGACAGGTGGTCCTTATTAAGGGGACTACATTTAAAGTTTTATTTTTAATTTAAAATAAAATATTTATTAATATTTTTACTCTTAATTCGTCAAAAACAATGTTCGTTTTTACATTTATGAGGTTCTGTTAATCAAAACTTGGGACTCAAGAAGGTAAAACTGTCTGATCAAGGGGCCTGTGAGGTGGCCACCATTTTTTTTTTAATAGAGGCCAAGTTGACGTGCGAGCACAATTGACATGATGTTCACGGTAAGATCGCTCTGCTCACACGGACATGTAACCCAGGCAGAGCTAACCTCTGACAAACAAACAAGATGACTGTTACCGGCGTTACCCGAGACATTTAATGAGGCATTTCTGCCTTATCAGCCAACATTAAGGCAAAGACAGGCAAAAACATTTCAAAGATACTAATAACTTAAAATAGTTACTGCAGTACCGGTAAATGTTGTTATGCCGCAGAATGACACGGGCAAGAATTTTCAGTGAAATTCATTATGTACTAAGAGTGTAAATTTTACTTTACACAACCTATTAAACACTTTGTACAAAATGAGTTTAGTGTTAACTGATCATAACAGACAAAGACCAAACTTGTGCAACCAGAAGTTACAACATATCTACATACAAAACACACAAAACAAAGTAAAACTAGCTTCAAGCATTAACCTTTAATTTAATCATTACTGTAATTATGATAAAAAAATGGAGGATTCACTTGCAGTTACCTTCATACAGATGAACATGTGGTACTTCCTGTTTATCACTGTTATATTCAGCTGCTCATGAGGTCACCCGCCGGCCTTTATCCGTCTGTTACATTTGAGTGAGTCTGGGGGAAAATAAAATAAAGTTAAACAGAAACACACATCTTTACTTAAATCTACCAATGTCTGTGTTTTGGTGTTATTAATGTTTAATTATAAGAATTAAATTAGCATTAACACAAATCCAAAGGCTGAGCGCTCTTGCGGGGGCGCTCTCTTTCTCTCTCCCGCTGTGCAGGCAGTTCTCTGTGTTGTCACTCGTGAGTCGGATCAAACAACCAACAGATTTATTACTGGGGGAATATTGATGACACACAGCAGCTTTGTAGTTTGTTTAAAAAATAACCACAAATAGGATTGATTGAGTTAATTCATTATAGTAAATGACATGAAGACATTCGAAGCACACACATCGTGCTCGCTGTCAGTCCAGCTGAGTTCTGCTCCGCCTCTTTTGGTTCTGCTCAAAGCTCACACCTGAGCAGGACGTGGCCTCTTCACCTGTGATTTATAAACTGTTTGAGGAACAACTAGTCTGAGCAGAACTGGTTCTTAATGGACCCACCTGGAACATTTCGCTCATTCGGGAACATAAAAAACAAACGGCCAACATTACTTTTATTTTGAAAGGCGTAAAGATTTAGGGATGTCAGGAAAATGTGTTGAACAGGAGGTGTAGTGAATCATTTTTGTTTTTAACATTGTTTCACATTAAAATATCTACTGTTATTGCAAGGAAATAAATCTGGAAATGTAATTTCTTTGAATTACACCTTAGAGTTCTGTTTATTGTATTTATGATTCAATGCAGCAAAAGAAACCAATTTAAAAGGTAACAAATCATTATAATACTTGGTTCATTCACATAAAGACTTTAATTGTTGGATGCCTGGCCCCTGAGCTGCTGGCTTTCAGTAACTGTGGCCCCCTGAGCAGTTTAGTGGAATAGCCCTGCTCTAAAGGTTTCTTTATGTCTCCAGAATGAGCTGCTCTCAGTTCAAGTTCATAATTTCAAAAACAAGTTCATGGAAAAGACGCTCATGAATGCGCTCCTTTTGACATATCAATGCAGAGTATTGATAATAAATAAAAATTCACTTACATTTGCTTCAAAGTCTTGTTTAATTCACCCAACTGGAGTCTCTTCATTTAAAAAGCTCTAAGTTGATAGTGTAATTAATATTTCTTTAACAGGTTTTGTAAAAACTGAAGCATAGAGACCATCCAGTTTTTCCTTTAAGCTGCCCACTGTAAATAAGATTAGAAGTAAATTATATTAAAAAAGAGGGAACAAACTGTACCTCAGAAACAGAAACGTTTATCACATAACTGCTCCAAAGCCTGACTGACACTCATCTGTCTTTTTGTACCAGTCAGATATGGTGGACCAAAACATCTTGAATTTCCTTCCTGAGCCGGAACACGGGGAGGTGTATAAGCTGCTATCATCCCACATGCTGATGACTGACCCCGTTGCTGCTGACTTCCTTGACAGTGAGTGTCCTGCCGAGCAGCCTACATGCACGCACACACACACACACACCATGTCTGGGTCATCATGTTGAAGCACACACAGCCCAAGCAGAAAATTATCTTCTTACCTTAGGAAATCAAAAATTAGATTACTAGTCTGCTGAAACACCAGAAATAACCCTCAACTCTCAGCGTCCACACATTACTTAACTCTGTATATTTAGAGGAAGTGGCTCCATTAAGGTTTGCATTTATTGGATTGCTGATTAGTGTGTTCCTATTATTAGACTTTTAGCTAATAATAGAAACAAGCTTAGTATCATAGGTAAGACTTTTAATCACGGTTATGTCAACGGAATAATCCCGAGCGTTGCGGCATGGGAGGCCAAAGACGCTGACCTTAATCCTGTGTTTGTTGGACCTTTGTGGGGAACAGAGAGGGTGAGTCACCCCCGTCTCAGGCGGACAACATCAATAGTTGTTACAAAACCCTCGTATGGAGAAGTCATAATTTCAGCTGGACACACATCTATGTGTCTTTCAGATATTTATTTCCTTTTGCTAAACACAGAAAACAGAAGTCTTTAGGGAGACTACAGAGGCCTGTACGTAGTTTGGTTTTTATGCGCCTGACTTGACGGACGTGTTATGGTGCATTCTTAGTCAATATGTGTGTGCAGCACGTTCGTAAACTTTCTGTTGTCTGGGCCATAACTTCTGATCTGCTCAAGATGATTTAATAAAACTTCATACACACATGCATCAGCACTGGATGGAGCGTCGCATGCACGTTTGATCCCCCCAGCTATGTGAAGGTCACAAATCAAGGTCAACGTTAAAACAAGGTCTTTGCTCGTCTGGACCATTGCTGTAGATTGTTGTATATCAGTTTGTTGATGGGCGTATGCTGTGCCGTTTGAGGTTTTGTTTTTGTCATGGATCATTCAGGTAGTGTCCTTCAGTTCAGCATGCTGCACTGGTTTCAGACCATTCATACCGGAAAAGCTCTGAAGTTGAACATGCTCTTTTATACACTGGTAAACTATAGATCTCTTAAGAGTATATAAAAAGTTTATTGACATTTTTAAACTATAAACTTAGCTAAATCACTATTAAGAAAAAAGATTAATGATTGACCCAAAACATTTTTCCATCTGGCATAAAAAATGGCTGATAATGTTATTGACTGTGTTTGTTTGTCTGTTAGCAAAATATCTCATGAATCACTCAAAAGGAGTTTAGTGAAACTCTGAAAACCTATTTATTGGATAGACATCCACAACTGATTACCTTTTGGAGTTAACCTGATTCATTATGGCCGCCTGAGCTAATTAACGCTAGCGAACAGAAACATGTCTTTTATCTCAGTCAGTTTTACAGATATTGAGCTAAAATTTGGTACGGTAGTAGCTGAGGGTCTTCTTCAACACATACTTTGAGCACTAACACATCTCTTACGAACTTGCACCCATCTCATGAGAATGTGCAAAACACGATTTACAAGGTTTTCCCAAAATGGCTAAAGCTTTTATCATCACAAGAAGATTTTTTGTTTAAAACTCTGTCTTTAAAGGCAGCGGGCGCTATGCATTCCTTTACTAGGCCTTTAAGCTTTATTACTGTGTTATTAAAAATCCTAAATGTCATATCTTACAAAACATCCCAATAGATGTCATAAGTATTCATTTTGTAAGAGGTTTGTGATGTAACCATAAAATGTTTTTTTTTTTTTTAGGTGAGGCTCATATTGAATTTTGCTGTCATCTAGCCAGAGGTAACATGAACCCAAACGAGCCCCCTGTGTACGAGTACGTCAAGTTTGTTGGAGATTTCAAGTTTCATAACAATGGTAACTTTAGGACAAAAACATGTATTAAAGGAATCTGCAAGCAGCAGGAAAATAACTGTTTGTTCTCTTTGCCTCCCAGTGCCTACATCTTCTTGTAACGGACTTGAACTGACGTTACCAAGAAATCTGCAGTCATCGCTGGAGGAGCAGGCCTGCCTCATCGCCACCGTGCGATTAGTCACTCCACAGTTTCTGAAGGTAAGAGAAGGTCCATTTTTAAAAGGTTTTTGTTTGCTTTACTGTCAGCACCCATGTTTGTTGTTGGTTTTTAGTCATTCTTTAGGGTTGTTTGCTTTTTATGGTTATGTTTATTTTCTGTGTTGAGTGTTTTGTTCTGCTCCTGGGTTTCCCCGTGCCATGTTTTTTTTTTTACTTCCCAGTACATTCTCAGTTTCTGTCCTGCCACGCCCACCTGCACCTGTTCCCCATTCACATTCATATTCATAATCAGGTCTCTTTTGTGAATGAGTCCCCGAGGCTCAATGGGTATCTGTATAAATCTGTATAAATAAAGGTTGAATGAAAAAATTGTTAGTTTGAGCTGCAGCTACCTCCCTCCCTTGCCCAGCCTTTTTACTCCTTCTGTTCTCACTACACTTCAGCCTGACATTCTTCGTGTCATGGTAGGCTCTCTTTCATGTCGAGTTTTGCTTCATAGTTTTTTCCTTCCTTTTGTTTTTGTTTAACAAAGTTAAACGTTTTTTTACTCGAGCTGCCAGTGTCAGACTGTATTTCTGGGTTCAACTTCAAGAAATTAGATAGACTTTGATACTGGATATTATTGTCTCCAAACCAAATTTCATGGATGGCATGCAGAAGAAAGCACAATATATTATACTATATATTATATTGATTGGAGATAATCAACTGGGACATTTAGAGTCCGTGTTTTCTACTGTTTTTACTACCAAAGAAATAAAATATCTGCTTCCTTCTGCATTCCATCCATGAAATTTGGTTTGGAGACAGAGACTTGGACAAAAAGACAGGAGAAAGAACTGGAAGTTGCAGAAATGAAGATATTGAGGTTCTCCTTAGGATGGATAAGATTATGAATGAGATCATCAGAGGTACAGCACAGGTTGAACAACTGGGAGATAAAGTTAGAGAGACCAGACTGAGATGGTTTGGACATGTCCAGAGGAGGAACAGTGGGTATATTGGTAGAAGGATGTTAGAAATGCAGCTGCCAGGAAAAAGACAAAGAGGGGATACATGGATGCAGTCAGAGAGGACATGGAGGTAGTTGGAGTGAGGACAGAGGATGCAGAGGACAGAGGGAGATGGAGGACGATTACTCACTGTGGAGACACTGAAGAGGGAACAGCCAAAAGAAGAAGAAATGATTGTGTCTGATGAGTTTTAATAGTAAATTGTGTGCATTGAGTTGATTAATTCTGGTCATACTGTAACATGAAATCAATACAGATCTGAATGTGACAATTCAGACCAGAATAATTTCTGTCTTAAATGACCAAAGTACTATTATTAATAAATGTATTTAATGTCTCCAGGCTTAAAGACTCTGTGACAATATGTACCAGTTTTTGTCAGATGCAGTAACAGTGATAAATTCTTGACTTCTACGGTAGTTTTTTGAACTCTTATCAGTTCCCCCTACATTTGTTTTTCTAAGGAATAACAGCATCTAAGGTCACGTCTTCTGCGAAACATTCAGAACAGTCAATCTGTGTGTTCGTGTGTCACACGATCACAAAGTGACTTAGCGAGAACAAAACTGTGAGGACGTGTTGCCAAAAAACTGCTGAGGCAGCATGCTGTCCTTTTTGTGATATCACCAACACACGAGCCTCATCACAACCCTGCTAAAAGAACTGTGTGTGAAAAATGCATTACCATAACTTATTTATTTATATATCATTATAATAAATGTGTTGCTTTGCTGCAAAGGGAAACTATCTCAGCCTGTGTGTGTTTTCTGATTTAGGATTTGTGTAACGTAGAAGATCCTTGTGATGAATTCACTTCCAGACACAGCCTTGAATGGAAGTTCTTGTTTTTAGATCACAGGTATGACAGTAATACAACTCCAATAATCATTAGTACCGGTATTTATTTAAAAGAAAAAGGTGTTTATCGTGATCTGTTCTGTTTCAGAGCCTCACCGATCATTGGTTATTTACCCTTCGAGGTCCTTGGGACATCTGGTTATGATTACTATCACGTGGATGACTTGGAGCTTATAGCTCAGTGTCACAAGCAGCGTAAGTAAACCAACATTGTTAACTTTTTATCACCTCTCCATCCAGAAGTCCATCTCTTGTATTAAGAGAAGAAAATGGTGATTTCTTATGTGATTTTTTTCTTCTCTCCTCAGTAATGCAGTTTGGAAAGGGTAAATCCTGTTATTACCGCTTCCTGACCAAAGGGCAGCAGTGGATTTGGCTTCAGACTCACTACTACATCACATACCACCAGTGGAACTCCAAACCTGAGTTCATTGTCTGCACTCATACTGTCGTGAGGTAAGCATGATTGTTCTCCTTTTTTCTTTATCAGGGCTGTAAAGGTACATGTGTTTATACTGGACCGACATCTGGGTCGAGTACATGCGATTAGGCAGAGAAAATTTAAAGCTGAGGACACACTGCAGGATTTTTTTCACAGAAAAGTTCTGCACCATTCTGCATTAGTTGGAGAAGTCAGCATGACTAGTTGACATCAAACTATTAGTGGAACTGACCCGACCTCAGTCACAGTTACTCAAATATGTTTGAATTTCTTTAGCCAAATCTGGACACAATCAGGTGTGAATTGATTGCTGACCCAACTGCAAACACATGTTGCCAACAGGCCATTAACAAAGAGGGGCGGGGTCACAGGAAATGATGTCAGACAAAAACAGAAGAGACAACAGCAGCAGTGAGCCGATTGTCGTCCATGTTTGTTTACTCTTTATACTGTCGCCCTGCGTTAAGCTGGGTTTAGCTGGTTTGACAAATCATGTAGTCTGTGATCCCTTATCAGTCTCAGTTGTTTAATGATCCACAGTGTGTCATTCTCGATACAAAGATCTGCTGAAACCAGTCTGTTAGTGTGCACGCCATGTCTTTCCAGAACCTCGAAAGACCCTGGAAGTTGTGCAGTGTCCACAGATTAGACGACTCTTTTCTTGAAAAGTTTTTAATTTATCTGCAACAGTGCCTCAGTTGGTAGAGCTGCTGCCTCTCAGCGAGCAGGTTGCGGGTTCAAATCCCGGTCCGGGAGCCTTTCTGGGTGGAGTTTACATGTTCTCTCCATGCATTTGTGGGTTTTCTCTGGGTACTCCATTTTCCTCCCACAGACCAACAACATGCATGTTAGGCTGACTGGTAACTCTAAACTGTCCCTAAGTGTGAGCGAGAGCGCAGGGTTTCCCCTACCATTATACAAACAGGGCGCCTCGCCCCGTCAACAGAACCAAGCGTCCTTGTGTACCGAACCCCCCCACCCCCCCGTCGACAACTGTCAGTATTGATGTATTGTGGGGTGCAATACAAACGCGCTAGCAAAATTGCTACTGACATACTGCCCCACTCCGCATCCCCCCCATCCTCTGCAACGTAGCGCTAAGGTAGGGGGCAGGCAACACAGACATGACTCTGTCTCCACCCCGCTCCGTCGACAAAAATAAAATACGACCAGTGCCCCGCCGAGGGGACTGGTCTATTGGAAACACTGGAGTGTGAATGGTTGTTTCTCTATGTGTCCCTGTGATGGACTGGAGACATGTCCAGGGTGTCCCCCGTCTCTTGCACAGTGATGGCTGGACATGGGCACCAGTGATCCCTGTGACATGAAAAATGGATAAAGGTGATGGATGGATGGATGGATGGATGGATGGATGGATCTGCCACAGCAGAAAACAAGTACAGTAGTATACAATCTAAATGTCTTTACACTAAAACAGATTATAAATAGTTAAACTCTGCGGTGTGACAGTTTCCCAGTCATCACAGTAGCAATGGAGAGCAAGTGGTTGATGTATGGAAAGCCAAAAGGGTCATATTTGTGTAGTTTGAAACGTCCTCTGTCATCTAATAAATCGTTTTAATCACATCACCAGGTGTTTAATAAGCACCACCCGTGTCTGAACAGCTCTCAGTTATTTAAAAAGCTCCACGTGTTTGTTTAACATTTAATTTATTTTATATTTTCACACTGGAACTTGCTCTTCTGTAACATAGTTCATATTTTGCATCAAGTTTAGGAGAAGTTAACTAAAACACTCAGTTCTTGTACTTCTTTCTCAACAAAAGTAAGATACTGTTCAGTTTTAGAGTTCATTGTTATTTTTCTTTGTCACTGGGCCTGGAAGACACATTTAATAGTTCATATTAGCAGAAAAACGGCACAATATGACTTTGGTATTTCTAATGTAAAGTTTAGTGTAATTGCTGTTTCAGACTTTAGAGCCTCTCCTCTCCGCTAGAAAGAGTTTGTTCTTCTGTTTGTTTCTAGGAGTTGTTGTCCTAAAAACAGGGCTATTGTCTCTTTAAATTAAACTGATTAAAAACAAACATTTGTTGCTTGTACTCATCCTCTGCTCGACTGCCTGCTGACATCAGGGACTGGATGGATTTAAGCTTCTTAAGTTTCAATGAAAAGAAGTCTGAAGTCATGTTGTTCCCTCCCAACGACACGATCACAAACCACTGCATCGACCTTTCCGCTCTAACCCTGTCAGAAAAACAAAGAGTCACTAATCTGGGCGTGATAATGGATCCTTCCCTGAAACTTAACAATCATGTAAACATGATTGTTAAATCATGTTTCTTCCAACTGAGGCGGCTGTCTAAACCGAAGCCCATATTGTCCAAAAATAACCTGGAGACAGTAATACATGCATTCATTGCATCTAGGCTCAATTACTGCAATTCACTCCTTCTGTTTGGTATCAGTCAGACCTTCATTGCACGACTACAACTGGTCCAGAATGCAGCAGCCCGATTTTTAACCAGTACAGGCAAAAGAGAGCACATTACACCAGTTTTGGCCTCCCTGCACTGGCTACTGGTTCACCTTCTAATCCAATTCAAAATACTCCTGTATGTCTACAAATCACTGAACAGTCTCCCCCCCCCCCCCGCCCCCAATCTCTCTGATCTGCTACAACCGTATGTTACACCATGTTCCCTGAGGTCAGTGGACCAGTTGCTCCTCACAGTTCCAGGAACTTGTCTTAAGCGCAGAGGTGACAGGGCCTTCTCTGTAGCAGGACCAAGACTTTGGAACGAGTTACCTCTGCTCGTCAGACAGGCCCCCTCCCTCTCGGTTTTCAAGTCCCGTTTAAAAACCCACTACTATTCAATAGCTTTCAACACCAGAGGATCTGTGTTTTGAACCTGTACACTCCACACTGGTTTGTCGTCATATTTATTATCTGCATCTTTTTTATGTCTATATTTTTGATTTACTTCATTTTGTATTTTGCTTTGCGTGTTGTCTGGTGTTCTGTCTGTACAGCACTTTGGTTGGCCTTGTAGCTGTTTTAAGTGCTCTATAAATAAAATGGTATGGTATGATTTGGTACTTGTACTAAACGAGTATTGACCTATTCAGAATTGTAATTCATGTTGCCGTCACACCCCTTTTATGTCCCTTTTCTCTACCATCAAACAATGGATTTGTTTAAAATTAAAACATGTACAAAGATATGAACAGAATGATTTTTTTCATGTGCACCTATAAATTCAATCTGTTCAGTTATGCTGAGGTTCGAGCTGATCGGAGGAGAGCTTTTGGTCTTGAGGAACTTTCTCCACCTGAGATAGCCCCCTCCTCTGTGAAGGTAAGACTCGGGAGCACCCCTACATGTGTGCACGTCTTCAGGTCTGAGCTTCTGTGCACTGAACACAACTTTTGTGTCCCCCCTCCCAGGCTCAGGAGCTGTACTTGGACATCTGCTCCACCCTGAACCCTACGCGGGACAGAAACAGTGGAGCACGTTCGGTGTCCTCCCACAGCTCCCGGAAATCCTCCCACACGGCGCTGCTGGACTCTTTGTGTGAGTCATCTGCCCTCTAAACTGCCAACTCTCTGCAGCAGCTTATTATCTAAAGAAATCCTCCTCATGAAATTTACCCCCCCCCCCAAATAAAGGTGACATCTTATTCTCCGTACGACACCACTGACGAAGCTTTTCTGCTAACTCCTGTTTAGGGATGCACAATATTATCGGCATATCGGTATCAGCCGATATTAGCATTAAAGTTCAATATCGGACATCGGCCATTCCATCAAAATAACTCACCGATATAAAAGACGCTGTTTTTGTATGAAAACCCAGTGACATTATGTCTGCAGTGTCAGCACAATGTGATGACGTCACGCGTACATACCTGATCTCATGGTGGAGAGGAAAATTCAAAATGTCTGCGGTGTGGAAGTTTTTTTCGTTGAGGATGTCGGATTTTGAAGATTTTTAGACTACATTGAGCCTCGCTACATCAGCCACTGTCATAGATTTTTTTTTTTCTGACGTAACCTTACCCGAATTACAAGCCGTCATTTCCGACGTCATTGAGAAGCTAACAGCTGATAGCACTTGGGTGAGTTTTACTACAGACATTTGGACATCATGTTAGCCCTGTTAGCATGATTAGTCTTACGGCACAATGGATAGACAAAAACTTTGATCTTAAAAAGGCTGTCCTTCATGCACAAGAGTGCAGAGGATCCCACACTGCAGCTAGGAACCTGGAACAAGCCTCCACAAGTGAGAAAGCATCACAGGTGACTAATGCTAATAAATAACATTTAACACTTTTCAAGTGCTATTAATATCATATGGCTGTTACTGATTTTATGTCACCAGCTCTTACAGCTGTTACACAATTTTTGTAACAAATAAGCCTAAATAAGTGGGATATGTTCTGACCAAGGAAAGTATATAAAAGTATTGGTATCGGTTATCGGCCAAATAAGTTTTAACATAGCAGCATGTCGGATATCGGCCAAAAATCCAATATCGTGCATCCCTACTCCTGTTGAAAAACACAATTTTTTTTAAAGTTTAAAAAATCCACAGCTTTATTCTTGTGTAATCTTAGAAGACTTTGTAATCAGTGGTAAAGTGTCTGAAGCTGAGCCGACTTGGCGTCTTTACGCCTCCCGTGTATGTGTGGGTAACAGTGCATCTGCGATGGTTCTCCAGGCCCCTGTTAGTTGAAATCCCTGTTTCTGTCTGACTTGCTACATTTCCACCCACCATCTAACACACTAACACACCTCACTTCCATCTGCATATTTAAATGAAGACAACACGGCAGCAGTGCAGTCACTGTTCATAAAGGGCAAACAAAGAGCTGCACACAACCATGCACGTTCTTTACTTTCCAAGGTGCGTTATTAAAACAGGCTCCATCAGAAACAAAGAATTTCTTTGTTTTGTGTGGGTTATAAGAAGAATGCATCACAGTTTGTTAATTTTTGTCGGGGGCTGAATGAATTGGCAATCAATGGCCTGTGAATCAGCAGTGCTGTTATTTAACAATATGAGTCTTCTTTCTATTTTTTTTTTTTGCTTTATCTCAAACAAGCTTTAGTTACTTGGCTAATTTTAAATAATCCTCCTCTCTAATGAAAAGAGAGTAACTAAATTAACTGATTTGTTACCAGTCTATGTTTGGATCCTGCTGTATGATGTTTCTATGTGGAGTAAATTAGATTCAAGAGAAGTGATCGCCACAAGAGCCAACACCGTTTGGCTCTGAACATTTAAAAAGTTTAAGTTTACATCATTTGATTAACTCTAGGAATTCAAACTTAATGTCTGTTTTGGAAAAAGCTAAGGTGAGATCATCAAGAGGAGTGTTTCTGAGCCCCATGTTACACATAAAAAACACCCTCATAAATGCACTTTACTCAGCAAAAGTAAAACCAGGCTTTCATTGTTCGTGCACAAAACCTGACCCTGTGATGCCCTGTCAGCCTGTTCAGGCTCTTCCACTCCGTTCATTATTAGCTCCTTTCATAAAACACTTTCAAGTCAGACCCAACGACTGTTTCAGCTCCTAACAGTTCGTTGTTGGAAGCTGAAGCCAGCACACCTGCTTTATGAAAGCTGCTGTGGATCCAGAGCCTTAACACTGATGGTGTGGAGCTTTAAATCCTGACTGACCACTCACCTGCACACTGTTATTACTGACTATAATTCAGTCAGTTTAATATTACAGTTTAGAAAGAGGAAGAACTATCTGAAGCAACAAGAGTAACCACCTGAAAAAGGTGTTTATTATTATTATTTATTACTACAAGTAATGTCCCACTTGTTTATGCAGAAGGGAGCGGGACTTAAAACTTGTGCTGGAACATTCTGGCTTCAACTTCTGGGTTCTGGTTGGAAGTCCAGATATATTTGGTCTAAGCTCTTGACAGCTTCACAATGATTGACATATGTTAGGATAAGCTGGATTTGCAGCTCGATGGGGTTGGTTAGTGATGACAGGAGGTCTGTGCGACCAGATGTGCAACAAACTCAATGTGAAGTTCTTCACATCTGCACAGCTCAGGTGCACTCCACCCTCGTTTGATTACGCAGTGCTCATTTAATTTATAACACTCAAATCGTTGCGTGACATGATCAACTTGACTGATGATTTACAAACAGTCAGAGGACGTCGTCTTTGCAGCCGTGATGTGGACCTGTGTCATAACAGAGGCTTACTGACGATCGATGGGATGGTTGAGTTGTGGTGGAGTTGAGAAAGAACATGGAGTTAAAAAATACAACATTTCAGTATCTGCTCCATTTGTTTTCATATATCTTTTAATTATTTTTTTTTTAAATATTACATGAAAGTAAGGTAAATGTGCAAATATGCGACAAACTGACATCAGTTAATTGATTGAGATTGATGGATGAATGATCAATTGATGGACAGGAACAGGCGGTGAAGAGTAGAAAATAAAGGTGGTGATATATTGATGTTTGTTGTAGATATATATGTTGTAGTTGCTCTTTGTTAAAATTCAGGTCTCTCGTGTAAATGAGTCCTTGTGGCTCAATGGGACTAACCTGTTTAAATAAAGGTTGAATGAATATTAGCTGTCAGTTAACAGACCAACTGATGATGATCTGTGTAAATCCTCAGTTTGTTCAGAAGTGACCTGTCTCCTCTGCAGCAGCGAGCTCCTACACCGAGGCGTGCACGCCGTCATGGCAGCCTGCTACCGTCGGCCCAGAGAAGACATCAGTCAGACTCCAGCCCGGTGCTTCAAAGGTCAGTTCATGTCGACATGCACAGAATCTGTCTGTGGAGATAGAACGGTCCGTGCACCGACGGCATGCCACAACTAGTGCTAAACCATAAGTTCCTTCTTTTTTCCCTGTAGAATTTGCCTCAGAGACAAAATTCCTTTGACCTTGTTCCACAAATGAACCTCTCCGTTTCTCCAACCTGCAGCAATCACTCCACGATGGTTAGTGTTTAGACTTCCTCTCCTGCCTGTTGCTCTCGTCTCCTCTGCCCGTCGTGTTATGACTGCTGCTGCCAGATGTGTTTATGACATCTGCTCCATGTTCACAGTCCCTCTTGGCCTGGTCAAAATAAGATTGTTATTAAAAAACAAGAGCTTAAAGAAAGGGTTATGAAAAAATATATATATTTAATTATTTTGTTGTACTTCAGTTTTCTAAGTACAAAGCACATTTTGAATCACGAGTGGCACAGGGATGGTGCCTGCTACAGCAGAAAGGCAAAATAAAGTGTGATTCATGCACTGAATAAGTTTTCTCTTATCTTGGTCCAATTTTGTTTTTCTCTGCAGCAAGAAACACCACAGCAGCCGATGCAGCAGCCGACACAGCAACAGCAGTCAACGCAACAGCCGACGCAGCAGCAGCAGCCGACACAGCAACAGCAGCAGCCATCGCAGCAGCAGCCAACGCAGCAGCAGCCAACGCAGCAGCAGCAGCCAACGCAACAGCAGCAGCCAACGCAGCAGCAGCCAATGCAGCAGTCCTCCATGTATCAGCTGCAGCAGCCACAGCTTGGTGTAATGAACCAGCTGAAGGAACAACTGGAGGAGAGGACACGCATTCTGCAGGCTGACATTAAGACCCAGCAGCAGGAGCTGCACGACATTAAGGAGAAGCTTCACCTCGCTAATCTACAGGTAGAAGAAAGACAACACAGAGTATAATTACACCAAGCTGTGGCTGCTGCAGCTGATACATGGAGGACTGCTG